TATACAATTTAAGTCTTGTCTAACAAAAATCACTTTTTTTGTATCCTAAAGTAATTTGTACAGTGTGTCCACGTTTGGAAAAGGCACATCAATCATGAGAACTATCTCCTTGTAGTCATTTTTTGAGCCTTTCCCTGTCTTTCTGTTTTCATCTTTGCTCTGTGATGACTTTACCAAACACAAAAATTTAAAGCACTGACTGAGGCTGCAATCTGCAAACATATATCTACGCAACCCTCTGTGTATGTTGTGGATGTATGGGGAGTTGGCATTGGTATTTTCTTTCTAAGTCAGTTATCAGTATTGTTGGTTGTCGGTTCCATAGTGTAGCTGTAATTGGTTCCATAGTGTAGTACTTAACAAGCCTGCCTCCAAAGCAGAGTCCTGGGTTTGATTCCCAGATGAACCGCATGTTTGGTGCCTGCAAGTGGCAGCTTATTAACAGCTTAGCTGCTGTTAACGCAATAATTTCCCAAATGTATGATCGATGAAGTTATTTGAATTTTTTTCAAGCTGGGAAATTTAAAAAAAAAAGTTAATCAATAGAAAAAAAGGTCTCCAATTAGTCACTTAAACATTAAATTCCCACATTAGCTACAATCACATAACACTGTTTTCATAAAGAACTATTGATATAGTAATGGAATAATTGGTCTTGGGTCAAGTGATTTGATATTTGAAATTAATATTAACATCAGTGACAGGTATTTTTTTTTAAAAAGAAAATGTTTTTAAATTGCCTAAAGCACCACTTGATGTGTAGATAATGCATTCAATGGTAAAACAAATTTGGACTATAATGAGTTTGAAAAATCCCATCCGTTTCATTTCCATCCAGTTTATTAACTGAAAGATGAGTCCACCTCCATAACTCACCCACTGCTACCTGTTTTGCACATTTTGCATAACTCACACAGCTCTTTGGCAGACTACTCTGCCCGTCCCCAGGATGCAGAGTGTGCGGCCTTGTGACATCACTTCCTGTGCATGTGAGAGAAACATATACGCCATGAGGCACGGGGGCCGCCAACGGAGCTGCCTATGCTTCTCATGACAGCTTGAAGATATACAGTTGTGGCGTATCCTGCAGTTAAATTCAATCCAGATCCTCTGGAATCCAGCTCTCGCCCTCTCTCTCAGTCTTTAACCCTTCCACCCTTCCTACATGTCCCACTGTTGTGTCCTATTTGAATGAGGGGTCCAGAAACACGTGGTTTCTTCGAGGAAGCTCGGTGTGTGTTATGCGTATGTTTTGAGTGTATTCCTGCTGATGAACACACCACTATACAATTTAAGTCTTGTCTAACAAAAATCACTTTTTTTGTATCCTAAAGTAATTTGTACAGTGTGTCCACGTTTGGAAAAGGCACATCAATCATGAGAACTATCTCCTTGTAGTCATTTTTTGAGCCTTTCCCTGTCTTTCTGTTTTCATCTTTGCTCTGTGATGACTTTACCAAACACAAAAATTTAAAGCACTGACTGAGGCTGCAATCTGCAAACATATATCTACGCAACCCTCTGTGTATGTTGTGGATGTATGGGGAGTTGGCATTGGTATTTTCTTTCTAAGTCAGTTATCAGTATTGTTGGTTGTCGGTTCCATAGTGTAGCTGTAATTGGTTCCATAGTGTAGTACTTAACAAGCCTGCCTCCAAAGCAGAGTCCTGGGTTTGATTCCCAGATGAACCGCATGTTTGGTGCCTGCAAGTGGCAGCTTATTAACAGCTTAGCTGCTGTTAACGCAATAATTTCCCAAATGTATGATCGATGAAGTTATTTGAATTTTTTTCAAGCTGGGAAATTTAAAAAAAAAAGTTAATCAATAGAAAAAAAGGTCTCCAATTAGTCACTTAAACATTAAATTCCCACATTAGCTACAATCACATAACACTGTTTTCATAAAGAACTATTGATATAGTAATGGAATAATTGGTCTTGGGTCAAGTGATTTGATATTTGAAATTAATATTAACATCAGTGACAGGTATTTTTTTTTAAAAAGAAAATGTTTTTAAATTGCCTAAAGCACCACTTGAT